TTTGGTGAATTACTGGAAGATGACGGTTCTGGCCAAAAGGTGGGTTTGTGTACAGTTTAGATGAAATGATAATTGTGAAAGCTTTTTGTAAGCATGAAGTACAACAGACAATTTTAAATGTGAGCAAGAGACTGTGTTCATGGAAATTGGGAGGAAGAGAAAGAAAAGAGATTTGATTGAGGATGCATTTTCTATTTTCCTGGCTACCTTGTCCTCATGTTTGAGGTGAATCCTTGCTCTACAGCGCAGCTCTGAAAGCTGCCTCTCCAAGCCCTGTCCGGTCCCAGCCCTTCTGTATTGTGCCCGAAGTTCTAGAACAGACACCCAGTGAGCGTTCTGTACCCAGCTGGTGCTGGAAATAGAAACAGCTCTGTAACAAAGGAGGCAAGGATCCACATGGAGTGGTCAAAGTCTGATTTCCCTGGATTCCGATCCGAGCAGCACCCTTGGTCAATATTGTTTTAGTCATTCCTAGAAAAGGGAGAGCTTCGTGGCAGTGTGGGTTTCTTCTGCCACAGAACAAATTTGAAAGCCAGTGTCTATATACAGTAGTTCCCGCATGCCTGATCTGTGGTTGGTTTTTCCATGCCTATGCACCTTAATCCTTGTCCAAGGCTAGGAACCTCCCAAGGCACAACCTGGTCACACAACCACACTGCCTCTGGAATGGCAAGATCCTCAGATGCCATGAAAACATTGATGCTGGTGGGAAATCCCTGCCGGAGCTCTGCCTCCCAGGACCGCACACCACATCCTTCCTCACAGAGCAGGCACTTCTGGCCTCAGAATTCAGAGCCCAAAGACACAATGCTCTGAGCATCTGATACCATCCCACAAAAGACAAAATCTCGCAGCAGCAATGCCATGGCCACCTAAATAAGAGCTTCCCCTTCCCTTCCCAGCCTCCTTGGTAAAAGAGCAGAGTTTTTCCTATAGGACACAGGCTGCACTACAAAGTCTACCTGGGTTTAACACCAGGAGGAGAAACGTGGACCTCAATGCCCAATCCAGCTAAAAATCAACTGCAAAAGGTTTATTATTCTAGGCGCTTTGGTGGTTCAGCCAATATTATAACCGTTTAAAAAGTCTTATGTACAGAGTAGTTTTTACTTTTAGAATCACATTAATGTTTTACATACTCAAAATAAAACAAAATCAAATCAACAGGATGAGAGAGAAAAATTAACATAGAATGCGAAGAGAAACAAATTAACCTAACTAGTTTGGATAACATAACACACTGAAGGTGGAAAAAGAAGTGACCACAGTAACTTTTGCACATAGTACTATGAATATGTGCTCTTAGTCTAAAGACAGAAATAACTACAAACTAATATAAATTCTAGATAGAAATTTTGTTTTGCAGGGATAGGAGTTACTAATTCAGAATCTACATTCTGTGAATTGTACGAATGAGCAAATAAGGAACTATATTGAATGGTAGTCAAGTTTCTCATCTGGGGAAGGGAGTAACAACTAAGGAAAGAGAAAAGAATGAATCCTGGGGTGATGGATTGAAATTAGAGATATCAATTTGAATTTATGGTTTTTAATATAGAAAGATATAGAGCTAGATAAATATGTGTGCATATATTTATATTCCTTCTCTCTGTCCACTTAAAGATTCTTTAAATCAAGATACCCTAGTAGCAATAAACATACCTTGGACCCAGATTTTGGTCTCTAAATATCTTTCCTCACTTTAAGGAGCCAGGGCTTTTTGAAGAAAATGGATGAATCAAGGCTGGGGCAGGGAAAGTACAAAATGAACCTGGACTATTTTATGCCAGAAAGTAAAGAAGTTCTAAAGAAAATAATTAGGATGTATCATAAAGACATAGGAGCCAGCTTGAAGGTCTCCCACTGGCCAAATCTAAAACAATTTGAGCACTGAAATAAATAATAATAGCAATAGAATACTCAGAAAAATAAGAATCTGAGTCCATACTGATATAAATAAAGGAATAAATTAAAATGTGAGGAAAGAGGGAAAGTCTTTTACAGTAGACCAACAAACATATGTAGAAGGAATGATGGTGTTAGAGAATCTACATTTTGCAACCATCACAGTAATAACTGATTTTGCCAAGAACCATCAATGGATGCTAAAGCTAGTAGGTGAAAGATTGCTGAAGAACAGGATATTGCCATAGTCTCAAAATATCCCCAACAAATTATTTATTCATTGCAAAGGGAAAATTAGTAACTTTAGAGTGGATTAACTTAGTGGACACCACGTTAAATAAGTAACCAAAGTTAACATCACCAATAATGGGACAAACAGAAATCCCGAACCTTCTGATCTGATGCCTAAAAAATAATACAGTATCACTCTATGGGTTCCTGCCAAAAATAGAAAACCTAAATCTAATCATGAGAACTCATGTCCCAGATTGAGGGACATTCTACAAAATAACTGGCCTGGCTTCTTCAAAAAATGTCAAGGTTATGAAAAACAAAGAAAAGCTAAGGAACTGTTCCAATTAAAGGAGACTAAAGAGGCATGACAACTAAATGCAATATGTGATCTTGAATTGGATCTTGGGCTGGGGGGAAAAGCTATAGGATATTAGTGGAATCATTGGCAAAATTGGAATGTGGAACTGTGGA